AAGTGGCGCTGTGGCTCAAGTGGTAGAGTGCTAGCCTTGAGCTGAAGAGCTGAGGGACAGTGCCCAGGCCCAGAGTTCAGGCCCCACGACCGGACCTAAAAACAAGAAAAAGAAAATAATGTACAGTTAGCTGGCTCAGTCCTCTAATCCTAGCTACTCAAGAGGGTTGAGACCTAGAGGATTTCAGTTCAAAGCCAACCTGGGAAGAAAACTGCAAAACTCCATCTGTAATTAACCAGCAAAAATGCTAGAGTAGAGGTGTGGCTCAAGTGGTAGAACACCAGCCATGAGCAAGAAAGCCAAGCAAGAGACTAAGGTACTGAGTTCAAGCTCCAGTACACACATGCACGCACGCACGCACACGCACACACACACACACACACACAGAACGCTGGGGGTTGGCAGGGCAGCTTGATAAATTTTCACAAAGTGAACATACTCTGGTAACAACAACCAAGACAAAATGAATGTTTCCAGAAGACTCCTTCATGTTTCCCCTCTGTCCTTTCCACCTTCCTGTCCCCCCACCAAGGTAACCACTACTATGAATTCTGTCACCGTACTATAATCTGCCTATTTGCTTCTATAAACTAATGCTGAAATAAAAATACTGCTCAGTAACTTCACAAAGTGAACAACCCACCTAACCAGAAGATAGACCAAGAACTAAGACTTTAGAAGCCTCCCTTGGGCCTTCTTGCAAGTCATCAAAGCTGCACCTTCCCAAGTTCCCCAGCCAAGGTCCTGAAGTTTACTTGACCTTTATGTTAGGGGAGTCAGGCAGTGTGTACTGTTTTGTTTCTGCCTTGCTTTTTTCCTTTTATTTATTTGCCCTGTGTCTTACCTCATTTTGCTCAGTGTCATGTGTAAGATGAGTGTGTATGATCACAAGGAGTCCCAGACTTTTCATTCTTGTTGCATTACTGTAGTGTTCCACCACATGGTTAAATCACTGGAGATGGACTTGAGAGTTGCTTCCGGTTTGGGGTTGGTGTAAGCACTCTGCTTTGAGCAGCCTATACACATCTTTTAGGAAGGGCCAGTTCAAAAGTGGTGACCATTTCTCTTCCGCAGAATTGCGACTTCACATTGCCGCCAAACATGGTCATTTTAATCTTTGTAGAGTGATGGAGCACCAGTTCATTGTGTTTACTGGTAATGTAGATGCTGTCTTATAAAAACCCTTTTGAATGGGCTGGGAAGGTGGCTCAGTGGTAGAGCGCTTGCCTTGCATGCATGAGGCCCTGGGTTCGATTCCTCAGCACTACATATGTAGAAAAAGCCGCAAGTGGCGCTGTGGCTCAAGCAGTAGAGCGCTTGCCTTGAGCTGAAGAGCTGAGGGACAGCGCCCAGGCCCAGAGTTCAGGCCCCACAACCGGCAAAAAAAAAAAACCCTTTTGAAGTCTCACCTGTATTGACTGCCTTTTCGTTGCTAAAACTCTATTCTTAATGTGATGACCCTTTAGTGGATATATGCTTTGTACCACACAAGCAGCCTGTGACTTGTCTGTTCCCCTTCTTATTATGTGTTGATAAGCACAAGTTCCTGACTTTAATGAAATTCAGATGATTAGTCTTTTCCTTTGTTTTATGCACTTTGTGTCCTGTTTATAGCAGGTCTTTGTTCTCCATACAAACTGTAGGTTTTACTCTTCACACACATCCTTAATTCATGGAATTGATTTTTGTATGAATTGGATATAGGGATACAATGTGCATTTTTTTTTCCCATATGAGTATCTACCTCACCTAATCACCTATTAGTTTAAAAAAAAAACTGTCCTTTTCCTACTGTACTGAGTGGCATCTTTTTTCATAAATCTAGTGTCCATGTGTGGTGGGCAGACTATTGCACTTATCACTTTGACACAGCCCAAGTGCACATGTGTGCGCTCTCTCTCTCTCTCTCTCTCACTCTCTCTCTCTCTCTTGCTCTCTCACTCTCACTCTCTCTCTCTCTCTCTCGCTCTCTCTCTCTCTCTTGCTCTCTCACTCTTAATCAAGACAGGGTTTCAAATTCAAGATCCGCCTACCTCAGCCTTCCAAGTGCTAGTATTTCAGGCTTGCACCCCCAAACCCAGCTTGATTCACTTTGATATGTAGAAGTCAGTACACCAACTTTAGTAATGATTATTTTACTCTACCTTGTCCCTAAAAGCCAGAGGCTTGGTAGGCACTTGTAGTCCTAGTTACTCAGAAGGTTAAAATGGGAGGATCACTTGAGCCCTGGTGACAGAATAAGACCCCCATCTCGGAAAAAGAAAAGAAAATTGTCCCTTATCCTCTGAACCCCTCAGGAGATATTTTGTACGTCTGACAAACTGTGAATAGTTTAATATGTGTTTCCCCAGAACTTTTTTCCTAAAATATTTATGTATGTACATTATAATTTCTTATCATGTGATGGATTATACCATAAACCCTGATTTGCCTCTTCTCAACCTAATGGTAGATCTCTGGCATCTTTCTTTGTAGTAGTTTTATGCTGCAGCGGTAGTTGCTGCTGCTGAGGGATGCATGGGCTATTTCTAGTTTTTCCTGTTGCACACTGCACCATACAGAGATCGTCTTTGCACAGTCTTTACCCACCTCGATGAGAATTTCCTCTAGAGAGGGTGATGTTGAGTCAAAGGATATAAATATTTGAAACTTTTAATAGCATCACCTAATTTGCATAGTAGGTGAGAGGGGGAGGGAGAACAACTGATCTAGAAGTTGATTGCCCTTTCTGTTCACTCTGCTAAATTAAGAGACCTAGACAGTATGTCCCTAAAAAAAAGAGACTTCGAATTTGGATAGATAGATTTAACTAGCAAATGAGCCAGGTGTTAAGGGCAAGAGGAGGGCTGGCCTCTGAAAATAGTTTAGACCAGAAGGTTCCAAACTTTCTAGGTTCGTGTCATTGTTGTTGTTTTTGGTTTATGTGTTTTGTGGGGAAGGGGTTGGAAGGGTTGGTTGTTTTGTGACAGGGTCCTGCTATGGTCAAAGCTGGCCTGGGACTTGCTATGTAGATTAAAGTGATCTCAAACTCATGTTCCTCCTGCTTTTGCCTCCTAAGGCTGTATGTGACATCAGGTTTTTATGGTGCCCTAGGCCAAAAAATACAGCTTTGTCTATTGCTGTCAGTAGTTAGAATATACTTATTAGAGTAAGTATTCATAACTTCATAGCTTAGTAGCCATTTGAAAAAACATACATGAAGTTGAAAGAGGAAGCTGGGTACCAGTGGCTCATGCCTGTAATCCTAGCTACTCCAGAGGCTGAGATCTGAGGATCACAATTCAAAGCCAACCCAGGCAAAAAAAAAAAAATCTGTGAGACTCTTGGTTTGTTTGTTTGTTTGGGTCATGGGGATTGAACTCTGGGCCTAAGCGCTGTCCCTCAGCTCGTCAGCTCAAGGCTAGCGCCCTACCACTTGAGCTACAGCGCCATTTCTGGCTTTTTCTGTTCATGTGGTGCTGAGGAATCAAACCCAGGGCCTCTTGCATGCAAGGCAAGCACTCTACCACTGAGCCACCTTCCCAGCCCCTGTGAGACTCATATCTTCTAAAACTACCAAAAAAGCAGAATGTGGAACTGTAGCTCAAGTAATAGAATGCCAGCCTTACACACAAAAGCTCAGGGATAGCACCCAGGCCCAAAGTTCAAGTCCCAGTACAGGCAAAAAAAAAAAAAAGGAAAAGAAAAGAAAGAAGAAATAATAGTTGCTGCTTACTAAACATGATTACTTTCTAAAGGGATTGAGTAGCTCCTGAGCACTGACCCTCTCAGGCCTCAGGCACACATTGTATGCCCACACTCGCATTCTTGTTCCATGTAGGTATTCACACCATACTGCTTCAACCCCCAAAAACTCTGCTGCACCAGGATATGATGGGTAGGTAGCATGGGCTCACTTAGACGCCATGAACCACATGAGTCCGCTGTGTAGCTTTGCTACTCCCCTCAATTTCAGATGTCATTTGGCTGGTTCCCTGAACACTTCACTGCGGCGTACCTTGGCACACAGCTTGAGAACTGTAGGGGGTCATGGCCTAGAGTTCAGACTGCCCTGGAGTATTGGGTGGCTCTTGGGGTCTAGGTGGATCTGGGGCTCCTGCCATGGCCTCTCACATCAGGCAGTCAGCACATGCTACCCCAGCTGAGGAGAATTCTGGTGTGTATAAAATGTAAGGGAAAATTTTTGAACGATTGGGGAAATCATTAAAAAACTATTATGTCATGAAAAATAAAAAGTTTTTATAATTTCCCTCACAAAAACCAGACTACTATTCCCTATCCCACGTTTATGTCTTACTAGTTCAAACTACTAACCTCCAAGTTTTTCTTTTTTCAGAATTCAGCTCAAACTAGACCTGTACTAGGGCTCAAGGCCCTGAGCCCCCTACAATAACAAACAAATCCTCACAAGGCTCAACTAGAGAGTCTGAGACAGGAGGATCACAAGTTCAAGGTGCCTGTAATCCTAGCTATTCAGAGGCTGATATATTAGGATCGAGGTTCAAAGCCAGCCTAGGCTGGAAATAAACTACAAAAAAACTGGAAGTTAAGCTTGTGGCTCAAGTGGTAGAGTGGTAGCTTTGAGCAAACGAAGCTCGGAGACAGTGCCCAGACCCTGAATTCAAGCCCCAAGATTAGATAGATAGATAGATAGATAGATTTCCTAATGGCCTCTTGTTCCTCTTGCCCTATGACCTAGCCAGGTTTTGTTTATGCATCTTGTTTCTAACATTTGAGCCCTTCTGAGATAACATTTGATGCTCCATTTATCTTGGAGCAACCACCACCTTTCCTAGTTGGTCAGGCTGTGGAGCAGGCTGTCCTTGGGAATAGATTAGAGCCAACAGCTGGGGCAAAGGTCCCAGATTTGCATCTCCCTCCCTTCTCTCCGTGGCATTCAGTTGCAGTTCTCCCCCGGTTATTACCATTCAGGTGCAGGGATGCTTTGAGAGTTGCTGGGTGCCTCTCTACTTGTTCTTCAGCATCCTACGCTCAAAGAAGAGGGAAGACTGTACCACTGGCCTGTGATTCGACCTTTAAGTAAACTGTCCTGCTTGTCCTGGAAGCCTCTGTCAGAATATCAGAATGTGTGTGTGTGTCTATAAAGCAGTCTCAGTAGTTTTCTCTCAGATTCAGGCAGCTGTCTCCAGGTTCCCCTGGAGAGAAAGTCTTCTCCATCTGCCACCTTGAATGGTCGAGCTTTGGCTGTGCTATTTCTAACCCTGACATTCAAGTCTTCTGAGGCCATTACATTAGCTGATCACTGCTTAGAGCCCAGAAAAGGTCAGAACCATAAGACTACCAGACCATGAGCCGAATGCCCTCATCAGAGAAGCAGCGGCTGACGTGGAAGGGATGGTCCTCGGGCTGTGCTAGCAGCCCCTGCTCTGGCTCCCTGAGCCCCATCTGTACTTCTTCCTTCCTATCCTCCTCTGCTCAGCTCTGTCCTCAAAGTGGCCTGTGTTGATAGTTTTTCAGGCTAGAAAATCTGATTTTTTTTTTCTTTTGCCAGTCCTGGGCCCTGTCCCTGAACTTCTTTTGCTCACTTGAGCCACAGAGCCACTTCCAGCTTTTTCTGTTTATGTTGTACTGAACCCAGAGCTTCATGCATGCTAGGCAAGTACTCTACCACTAAGCCACATTCCTAGCCCCAAATCAGGAAATTTTAGAATAGAGGTATTTACATTGCACTTTTTTTTTGGGGGGGGGGTCCGGTCATGGGGCCTGAACTCTGGGCCTGGGCACTGTCCCTCAGCTCTTCAGCTCAAGGCTAGCGCTCTACCACTTGAGCCACAGCGCCACTTTCGGCTTTTTTCTTTTTGTTTATGTGGTGCTGAGGAATCGAACCCAGGGCCTCAGGCATGCAAGGCAAGCGCTCTACCACTGAGCCACCTTCCCAGCCCCTTACATTGCACTTTCTAAAGCAAGTGATGGACCGGCCACATTGTCCCTGCCGTCTCACTGGAGCCCTGGGCGCGTTAGGCTGCTGGTGGCAGAGGGTTCTGGACTTAGGGGGCACTGACCCGCAAAAAGCCTTTGAAAGTCCCTTGGTGGTCTCTCCCCAGTGGCAGGGTTCACGCAAGGAAGGCTGGGGGATTTCTGTGGAGCTGCCCTTGCAGAGGTGGCATGTGCGCATGCCCATGCCTGTGTGTTCTGGGGCAGACCTCCCAGCCGTGCTTGGTGCCAGTGCTGCCTGCTGGGACACTGACCGCTGCCCCCCCCCATTGTTCTAAACTCTTTATCCTCAGAGCTAAGAGAGCTGAAAATATAGTAAATCAAAATATAAATAAATTTGCCTAGAAATACTTGTCAAAGGTATGATTTAAAATGACATGAGAGTGAGGCACTGCCGGGCTTGGACACTTGCAAGGCTGAAGGTGAAGTGTAGCCAGAGGCACTTAAGACCCTTCCAGGTTAAGCAGCCCCCACCCCACTCTGCAGGTTGAATGTCAGCAGGTCAGGACTGGAGGCTGCAGGGCTTAGACAGGCCTACCAGCAGTATGAGGCAGGGCCTCTGATGTCCTTTGAACAATGACTGAACTGCCATACTTAGCAGGGTCCTGAGAACAGAGCTACTTTCCCTAGTTTCTGTGGTAGGAGTGCTTCTATAGAACCTGTTTGGGTTCTGGCCTCCAGTGATCCCTTTTTCCCAAACTTCTGAACTGTCCCCCTGGTACTGTCTCTACTGACCCCAAGATCTTACAGCCAGCCTCTGCCAATGAAGCTCTTGTCCTTGTCCTTCCACAGAGCTACTTCCTCAGTCGCGCCCAGAGCCTGTGTGGTCCTGAGCACAGCACAGTACCTGACTCCCTGCGCTGGCTCTGCCACCCCCTGGGCCAGAAGTTTTTCATGGAGAGAAGCTGGTCAGTGAAATCGGCAGCCAAGGAGAGTCTGTATTGTGCCCAAAGGAACCCAGGTGAGAACACCTTCACTACTGCTCAGAACTGCCTATGGCCATGAGAGCCACCCCTGCTGCAGGTCTCTGTGGACCAGATACAGAGACTCAGGTGTCCCTGACTTACTTAATCCATTCAAAAACCAAACCTAGCCGGCGCTTGTGGCTCACACCTGTAATCCTAACTACTCAGGAGGTTGAGATATGAGGATCACAGTTTAAAGCCAACCCGGGCAGGAAAGGCCATGAGACTCTTATCCCCAATAAATCACTCAGAAAACAGGAAGCTGTGCTGTGACTCAAGTGGTAGAGCGCTAGTCTTGAGCTGAAGAGCTGAGGGACAGCACCCAGGCCCAGAGTTCAAGCCCCATGACTGACAAAAAAAGCAAACTATGGGCTCGAGTGGCTCACGCCTGTAATCCTAGCTACTCAGGAGGCTGAGATCTGAGGATTGCAGTTCGAAGCCAGCTTGGGCAAAAAAGTCTGTGAGACTGTGATCTCTAAACATCAGAAAGTTGGAAGTGGAACTGTAGCTCAACTATAGAATGCTAGACTTGAGCAGAAAACTCAAGGACAGTGCATAGACCCTGAGTTCAAACCCCAGATCCTGCACCAAAACAAACACACACATACCTTAAGTCTCTGAGATTAAATAACATGCCTGAGGTCAAAGCCTGGTCACCTGTCTGTGGCTGAGCTGCATTTCCAGCTATGCTTGCTTGGACAGTTGAAATATCCCAGTGCCACACAGGGTGAGCTGTGATTAAGTGCCAACTGTATTCTTAGCCCTGGTTCCAGGCACTCTGGAGACAGAGGGTGTGTGGGGCTTGCAGTTTCCTGGCCTCTGGGCGCATTGGGAAAGCAGAGGACGTGTATGGAGCAGTTAGGGAACAATAGGTGGCAGGCAGTTGTCAAGTGCTCAGAGTAGTGACAGGGACAGGGCTCCAGGCATTGGAGAGACATGCTGGCTTGCTGTCCCTGGCATTTGATAGTGATTAGAGTTGACTTGCCCTGCCTCGGAGTGGCACAGGGGTGGACTCTGGAGTGGTGGGGTGGACTCAGACTGAGCATTCCGTAGCTTTCTGCTTCCGGCCGTGCTTGCCCCACTGAACAGGGAGCTTGTGGGGAGGGGAGGCATGTTGTGCAGCTATGAGGAAAGAGGGGGTGTAAGCTTTGAAGAGGTTTGCTGTATCTTGTTGTTGTTGTTGTTTTAACAGCTATGGCTCAATATAAGAATTTATGTGTTGGGGCTGGGAAGGTGGCTCAGTGGTAGAGCGCATGCCTTGCATGCCAGAGGCCCTGGGTTCGATTCCTCAGCACCACATAAGCAAAAAGAAAAAAGCCGGAATGGCGCTGTGGCTCAAGTGGTAGAGCGCTAGCCTTGAGCTGAAGAGCTGAGGGACAGCACCCAGGCCCAGAGTTCAGGCCCCACGACCAGACCCAAAAAAAAAAAAAAAAAGAATTTATGTGTTGTTGTTTTTAATAACTGTTCAATGTCAAAAAGTTGAAGGATGATGCCAGGCACCAGTGGCTCATGCCTATAATAACCTAGCTACACAGGAGGCTGAGCTCTGAGGATCCCAGTTCAAAGCCAGACTGGGCAGGAAAGTCCATGAGACTCTTATCTCCAATAAACCACCAGAAAACCAGAAGTGGCACTGTTGCTCAAGTGGTAGAGCGCTAGCCTTGAGCTGAATTGCTGAGGGACAGCGCCCAGGCCCAGAGTTCAAGACCCATGAACAACAACAACAACAAAAAAGTTGAAGGATGAAAGCAAAAGCAGTCCTTGTTCCTCCCACTGCCAGCTTGTTTGCAGCATAGACTTCCCCATCCTGGTCACACCTCTTGGAGTTCCCAGGTCCAGGTCCTGTCCCATGGAAAACCGACAACATGCGTAAACCTCCCTCCTCCTCCTGGCAGAGCAAGGCCCACATATGGCCTGTGTAATCTGCCATGTATGGGCAGAGGGGAGCAGTGGTGATGCCATGGTTTGGGCCTTCCCATAAGTCAACTCTCACAAGCACTCAGGGCCCCTGGTCTCCTCAGCTCAGCTAGAGCCTTGCTAAGCACAGGATTTGTGGCCAGGCTTGGGAAGATAAAAGAAGGGATTGTTCATTGTTCCATTGTCAAGAGAGTAGCAACCACCACTGTAGCCCTTCTTTTCTTACCTGGCTGTTCGCCCTAGCCATAAAGACAAGCGACAGCCTCTGAGACTTGAGGTTGTATACACATACACTTGCTCTCTGCTTATTTATCAGGGTCATTGTGTTTTGTAGAGGAATTTGATCCCTATTACAAGGCACCACTGTTTCTTAGATTCTTCTCTCTTTCTTTTCTTTTCTCCATGAAGATAAAAGTACTAAAGAACTGGGCACCAGTGGCTCACGCCTGTAATCCTAACTACTCAAGAGGCTGAGATCTAAGGATCGCGGTTCAAAGCCAGCCCGGGCAGGAAAGACCGTGAGACTCTTATCTCCAGTAAACCACCAGAAAACCGGGAGTGGCGCTGTAGCTCAAGTGGTAGAGCGCTCGCCTTGAGCTGAAGAGCTGAGGGACAGGTGCCCAGGCCCAGAGTTCAAGCCCCATGACCGGAAAAAAAAAAAAAAGTACTAAAGTATTCATAAATAAGACCCATAGAGTATTAGTATTGAACCCAAGGCCTCACAGGTGCTAAATTTGCCACCGAGCTACATCATCAATGCTAACGTGGCTTGCAGAGAACACCCATTTAACCCTTGTTGCCTTTCTCTTCCTTAGCTGACCCCATCGCTCAGGTCCACCAGGCTTTCTGCAAGAACCTGCTGGAGCGAGCTGTGGAATCCTTGGTGAAACCTCAGGCCAAGAAGAAGGCAGGAGACCAAGAAGAAGAGAGCTGGTAAAGTCCCCAGGCCCTGCTCCCTTTGTGTTTATTTCTTTTTTTTTGGTGGGGGGGGGGGCGGTGGTGGGGCCTGGGTGCTGTCTCTCAGCTCTTCAGCTCAAGGCTAGTGCTCTACCACTTGAGCCACAGCACCACTTCCGGCTTTTTTCTTTTTGCTTATGTGGTGCTGAGGAATCAAACCCAGGGTCTCATGCATGCAAGACAAGCGCTCTACCACTGAGCCACCTTCCCAGCCCCCTTTGTGTTTATTTCTTAAAACTAGAGCCCAGGTGTAGACCCAGCTACCAAGTAGAGCCAGTTGTTGGAGTAAGTCAGGAATCTGATGAGCCGCTTTGCCTTTTGGAATAGAGAGTGAGGGACCTGTTGAGAGGAGAGGAGGTAGGAATGGGATACAGAGATTTCAGCAGCAGACAGACAGCTCTGGTCCAAATACATCTGGACCCAGCCCTGGAGCATTTTGGGGTGGCTTATTTTTTGAGATGGGGCTCCCTCTGTAGCTCAAACTGGCTTTGAACTTGTGATCTTTCTGCCTCAGTCTCCCATAGTTACTGAGCATGGCCTTTCCATCACAGAATTAGACCCAGGAAGCAGAGCACTGAGGGATAGGACAGCTGTGCTAGGAAACTGTATGAGAATATGCTGGGGGGGGTGGCCTCCTGGAGGAAGGTGGGGTATCAGTGATAGCCCAGAGAATGCGTGGAAGGGGAAGGTAAAGGCTGGTGGTATGTGCGGGCTGCACTGCCTGTGCCTGGGCTGTTGGGAACACACAGCCAGAAACAACTGTTGGGTCTTTGAACTGGCAAGCTAGACCACTAGCTCATTAAGTGTAATCTCTGCATTTTACTCTCTTTCCTTTGTAGTGAATTCTCCAGTGCTCTGGAGTACCTGAAGTTACTTCACTCCTTTGTAGACTCTGTGGGGTTTGTGACCCCACCATTTTCCAGCAGTGCTGTATGCAAATCCACCCTCGGTGAGCATCCGTGGATCCACACTCTAGAGGTGTTCTGTTCTGTGTAGGTCTGGGGTTTGTTGGGTATACACGGAAGCATCTTCTGTGGTCCCAGGTTTGTATTTATGGCCTCCAGGTAGCCCAACCCACAGCTAGCCAGCCTGGGCAACATTCCAGGGGACAGCAAGTAAGTAAATATCATCTCTAAGCTGCTATCAGGGTGACAGCATATCAGCAGCCACCTCTCAGGCTTCTAAGACCCTGGAGCATGAGAGTGCCAAGCTACCCTCTGCCCACTCTCCTGGGGAAGGTTGGATCCCAGCAAAGCAGCCATCCCGGCTTTGAGCACTGACCTGTGATTACTTCAGTGTGGGAGATAACATGTTCTCAGACCCTTTCTCACATGACATTGCCACTGGCTTTTGCAATATCACTGGGGTCACAATTTAGCAGTTATGCAAACTGAGGCTCAGAAAGAAAAAAACAACAAAATACTCCAAAGTGAATGCTGCTCCAGAGACTTTGAAGACACTAGCCATTGTGGTTGTATCCAGCTCTTAAAAATAATTAGAGGATCCTAGCTACTCAGGAGGCTGAGATCTGAGGATCACGGTTCATAAACTCTTATCTCCAATTAACCACCAGAAAACCGGAAGTAGCCCCATGGCCCAAGTGGTAGAGTACTTGCCTTTGGCTGAAGAGCTCAGTGCCCAGGCCCAGAGTTCAAGAAGCCCCATGACTGACCAAAAAAAAAAAATTATGGGTAGGTCTGGAAGGGTGACTATATTACAAGTACCTGCCTGCTTTCCTGCTTAGTAATTCTTAGTTACTAATAATAATAGTAACAAGGTAAAATTCTAAGATTATTACAATGGACATTTTTGTTACACTTTTCTATTCAAGCCAATTTCTTTGTTTTTTGTTTTTGTCGGTTATGGGACTCAAACTCAAGGCTTAGGTGCTGTTTGTAAGCTTTTATGCTCAAAGCTTATACTCTGCCACTCTGAGTCATAGCTCTACTTCCATTTCCGGTAGTTCATTGAGGATAAGAGTCTCATAGGCTTCCTGCCCAGGCTGGCTTTGAACCTTGATCCTCAGATCTCAGCCTCCTGGGTAGCTAGGCGTGAGCCACCCAGCACCCAGCTCATTCCATTTTGATAGAATGCAAAAACAGGATTATTAGGTTAGTAGGAGTGAAGACCTTAAGGCTCTTGATAGATTATGCCAGACTACCCAAAAGCTGTTGGAGGTGAGTGCTTTTACCTGAGTTACCATCTCCAGAAGGTGAAGAAGATGCCATGCGCCATGTAGGTAGGGGTATAGCAGTCATGGGCTCCACAAAGCTGGCTCTGCTGGGGCTAAAGTATGTTTGCTACTGACCCCTTTCAGGCCCAGACGTCATCTGTCGCTGGTGGACATCTGCGATTACCATGGCCATCAGCTGGATCCAGGGGGATGACGCTGCTGTGCGTTCACATTTCACCGAAGTGGAGCATGTCCCCCGGGCTCTGGAAGTGACTGAGTACGTAAGCATCCTTGGCCACTACTCTGTTTCTCTGTAGAGGAATCCTGTATGAGCCACTGAGAGGAAGCAGGTCCACATGTGGCCACACTGGAGTGGAGGAGGATGAAAACTGTATGGTAGGAGAGAGGTTGAGGTAGAGGAGGGAGCAGAGGGCACCCTGGAAATTCAGGCTGTCTATGCACGTGTGCATAGCTCTGCCCAGCTCACCTGTCATTCCAGCTGCTGTCAGCATCTCTTCCTCCTCCCCCAGTTTCTGTGTGACCACAGGCCATGGGAGACATGAGGGCAGTGTGGGCTGGGAAAGTGGCTCAGTGGTAGAGTGCTTTCTAGCATGCATGAAGCCCTGGGTTCTATCTCTCAGTTCCACATACAGAAAAAGCCAGAAGTGGCGCTGTGACTCAAGTGGTAGAGTGCTAGCCTTGAGCACAGAGAGGCTCAGGAACAGTGCCTAGGTCCTGAGTTCAGGCCCCAGGACTGGAAGAAGAAAAAAAAAAAAGATGTGAGGAGGGCAGTGTGAGTCCTGCAAGTCAGAGGCTTCAAGCAGACGCAGCTGTGTGTGTGGCTGTGGCACAGACTCCGCTCCGGGATTGTTTCTGGGCTCCCTTCAGCCATCTGCCACTGCCCATCCACCTGCTTTTCTAACTGAACAACCGGGGGCACAAGACCCAACCAAAGAACTCTTGACATTCCTCCTCAAGACTTACATCTGCACCTGCCAGGCCCTCAGCCATGGGCACCTGGGACATGCTGCCTGAATGCTACATGGTACAAAGGCCTGCGGACAGGGTCCTGGCCTCAGAGCCAAAGCTGGCCCCTTACAGAGAACACAGAAGGGATCTGATCACAGCAGGGTGAGCCCTGAAGTAGGTCTAATGTCTCAATTTTATGTAGCCCCATTTTATTTCTTTATTACTAGGAAGATGACTACAGAGGGGCTACAGTTGCTCTTTACTTATAAGAGTACATTTCTTTTTTGGATAATGGCACCCCTTCCCTGGTATTTAGCCCCATTTTATAGCCCCCTGTTGAGCTAGCAGCCCCCCTGCCCCAGCCCTGCCTTGAGCCTTCCCACCTAGGGTTGTCTGCTGGGCTCCCTGAGGTTGTCTGAAGCTGCGTCTCCTCTCAGCTGCACAGCCGCAGCTGACAGCCGGGATGCCCCAGTGGGCTCCCCCACCTCCCTCCCGCCCGGGCGCAGTTATAGCTGCCACTCCTCAGGAAGTCCAGGCAGGAAGCCTGTGGCCCAGCTTTGTTCCCTGTCCTCTTCTCTGCTTAGTTTCTCTAAATGCTTAACACAAGACTTCTGGGAGAATAGTCTTCAGAGAACAAATAATGAGGCTATTATAGTCAGCTTCTGTTGCTCTTAAAAATCCTGACAAAAACAACTCATAAAACCCAGGCTGGGGCTGGGAAGGTGGCTCAGTGGTAGAGTGCTTGCCTTGCGAGCCTGAGGCCCTGGGATCGATTCCTCAGCACCACATAAGCAAAAAGAAAAAAGCCGGAAGTGGCGCTGTGGCTCAAGTGGTAGAGTGCTAGCCTTGAGCTGAAAAGCTGAGGGACAGCACCCAGGCCCAGAGTTCAGGCCCCACGACCGGACCCACCAAAAAAAAAAAAAACCCAGGCTGCAGTGGCTCTTGCCTGTAATCCTAGCTGCTCAGAAGGCCGAGATCTGAGAACCATGGTTCAAAGCCAGCCCAGGAAGAAAAGTCCATGAGACTCTTAACCAGCAAAAAGCTGGTTAAATGTAGCCCAAATGTAGAGTGCCTAGGCCCTGGGTTTAAGCCCCAGTACTGGCACACAAAAAAAAAACAAAAATTTTTTTTTTTGTCTTTTCTTTTTTGGTACTGGGGAT